GAGAAACTTTGTGAGCATCTCTGTGTGATGTAGATGGTATTATGCTCAGTTGTTAAATGAATAGTTAGAGGTTCCAGAGGTGCCTTGGAAAGGGAGCTCTTCCCAAAAGGTTCAAGTCAGCAGAAACTATGCTTCCAAGACAGACATAAGGACTCCAACACAACGTTTCAAACAGATCATTGCATAAACAGGAAGCAAGCTACTCTGATAAAGCCTTTCTCTTCACTACTGTGGCACCCATGTCAATTCATAGTGACCTTCCACTGGGATTCTGAGACTGTAAATCCCTGGAAGCTTCATTTCACATACTTTGGGCATATTGCTAGAGGAGGTTACTCCTTGGAGAGGCACATCGTGCTTGGGAAGGTAGAGGGTCAGTGAAGGAGTGGAAGGACCCTCAAGCAGGTGGATTGACACAGTGACTTCAGCAATAGGCTTGAGTGTGTCAGAGATTGTGAGGGTGGCACAGGTTAGGACAGGGTTCCCATCTGCTGTTAATAGGGTTACCATGAGTTGTACTTGACTTGATGGAACCAAACAACAAATCTTGACAGGAGGTGACTGCCAATCTTTTACCTCCAGAGTAGCTGGTGGTTTAACTGCTGACTTTTTATTATTAAGCAGCATAAACACTACGAGAGCATCGAGAAGATGAAAAGCAGGGTCACATTCTACTGTCACCTACAAGAGAAAATGTGTTTGGATCAAGTATTATGGCTGAGGGAATAGAATAAGAGCGCAAATCCGTTGCAGGCAGCAATGCAGTGGTGGGAAGTTATATGACAGCTACCTGGCCACCCATGGGGTCTGACACTTGTGCATGCAGGTGAGGCTGTAGTTACCACCAGTCCTAGGAGAATGAAAGTCTCTGGAGTTCAGTGGATTAGTGGGGAAGGTTCCATGTAAAATTAGGATCTCTCTGTCTCAGAGAGGAGCCCTGAAAGGCCAGCTGTCAATTTGGCAGAAGATAAATCCTCTCAATCTTTAAAGGCAGCTCAGGGGTCTACTGTCTGACTCAAGTGTCTGGAGGTTTGCCTCTGAGTGAACTTGAAAGAGCTGACAGGATTAGTGATGCTGAGGGGGAAAAGCCTCTCAAATCATTCCCAGTGAATGATTTAGACTTCAGACGTCTGTGCAGTGTACCACCAAGCCAACTCTGATTCACAGGGACCCAGCAGAGTACAATCGCCCCACAGGGACTCCTAGACTCTAATCTTTAAGGAAGCAGATTGCCAGCTCTTTTCTCCTGTGGAGCTGCTGCTGGGTTCTAACCATCAACCGTTCAGTTAGCTGCCTGCCTAGTGCATAATCATTGCTTCACCCTGGCTCCATAGATTGATAATGTGACAGCCAAAGAAAGAGGAGTGGTGATGGCACCGTGGCCAATTTCTCGCTGCTCAGATTAAAAGTCAGATGCTCAAACCCAACAGATGCCAAAGACATGGGAGTCTACTCTGTATAGAATACACCTCGTGGGGCCACAAGGTGACAATGCATGGGAATAAAAGAAAGATTCTCACTTGTCAAAATTTGAGGTAAAAGAGAAACTAACAAAGCTTAATGACACGTCAGAGACAGCTTCAATAAAACTACTGAGTTGCTGTTGGCCCGATGAGTTGAGTATGACTCATAGCGACACCATGAACAACAGATCTGAACCCTGTGCTCTCCTGTGCCATCCTCACCATCTCTGATATACTCAAGCCCATTGCTGCAGTCACTGTGTCAACCTACCTCATCGAGGGTCTTCCTCTCTTTCCAATTATGATGTCCTTAACCTCTCCCAGCAACGTGTCCAAAATATGTGGGGCAAAGCTTCACCATCCTTGCCTCCAAGGAGCACTCTGGCTGGACTTTTCCCAAGACATATCTGTTCTTTTTGGCAGTCTGTGGGGTACTCAGTATGCTTTTCTAACACCGCAACTCAAAGACATCGATTCTTCTTCTGTCATCCTTATTCATTGTTCAACTCAGATGCATAGCAAGTGACTTAAAAAGAGCACGGCCTAAATCAGATACACCTTAGTCTTCAAACTGACATTAATGATCCTCAGTCATTTGGAGAGGTCCCTGACTACAGACTTCCCCAGTGCAATATGTCTCCTGATCTCTTGACTGCTAATTCCAAGGGTGCTCATTGTGGATCCAAATAAGATGAAATCATCAACAATTTCAATCTTGAACATACCATGGACCACAAACAAAAAACAACACAACCCTCTGAAAAAAATCCAAACAAACAAACAAACCACAACAAAACCCCCCCAAAACCAAAAAAACAAAACAAAACGCAAATAGGTTTGTGTTGGAGAGGGTGAAACCAAGTCTCTCCTTTGAGGCTACGATTTTGAAGCTCTATCTCACATACAAGGACATGATGCTCAGAAGGACAGAGGGACAGCGCAGGAGAGGAAGACCCCAGATGTGATGGATTGATACAGTGACTGGGACAATAGGGGTTGGTGTGTCAGAATCAGTGAGACTGGCTCAGGACAGGGCAGGGCTCAGAGCTGCTGTACATAGGGTCGCAGAAGACTTGACGGCACATAACAGCTCAGTGATGAGGACCTTTGTCTTATCGATGTTGACATGCAATCCATTAAGAGTATTAGCAAAAAGTCAATAAGCTGTCAGTGAGTCGATTCCAACTCATTGCAACCCTATGTATTGTCACAAGTAGAACTGTGCTCTGTTGCATTTTTAGTGGGTGGCCTTTTGAAAAATAGATTGAAAAAAACTGTCTTCCTTGGCATTTCTGAATGAATTGGAACTCCCAAACTTTTGGTCAACAGGACACTACAGAATCTAGTAAATGTGTCTGTCACCCTCCACATTAGGAAAGAGAGGCAAATACTGGCCAAGCAGGAGATTCTTGTGTTGATTTTACATTTCACTCAGTCAGGACTACCTCATAGATGACCCTCCAGCAGATTCTCAGAGCCTGTAAATCACAGGAGAGGTGACTGCCCATCTTTCTCTCCCATAAAGCAATGGGTGGATTTGAACCACATATCGGTGGGTTGGCAGTGAAACTCTTTACCTACTAGGCCTCTTCTAAGACCTTCTTCGGACACTTGATTTTAGAGAAAAATCCACTGCTGTCTAATTCATTCCAGCTTATTGCAACCTTACAGGACAGAGTAGAATTGTCCCAAAGGGTTTCGGAGGCTCTCAATCGTTATAGGAACAGAAACCATTGATTACTAGTCTAATGTTTAACCCACTTGTGTCACCAAGGCCCCCTGAGCCCTGCGATGAGTTTCTCCAAGTCTCCTCCCAGCTTTTGCAGTGGACTTTTCTAGAGCCTGTACTGACCTTTGCGAAGCGCAAGCTATTTCATGCAGCTGTCTGATTTTTGAGCCGCATAATTTCCAAGGAAAGGATTATCCTCAGTGAGGAAAAAATAGAACCTTAGGATGTGACCAACATTTGGCAAGGTCAGGGGTGTAAAGATGTTTCTTAAGTGTTCTTTATTTATTTTAAATGTATGCCAATGTGTAGCCAAGCATTCAAAGGATCCCGAACTGGTTATGATTGGGAAGAAAGAGAAAAAAAGAAACAGTGTTCAATCCTGAAAGAAAAATGGTGTGGAGAGAGACACCTAAGGGCAGGTATCATGGAATGAATATGTGTAGATTTCCTAAGGAGGGGTCCCACTTAGCCCTTACGTCTAAAGATGAGAGAATTGCCTTAGCAAAGGGGACAAAGCCGTTTGGCGTGCAGTCTCCTCTCTGGTGGGACCAGGGGACCAGGAGACAAGAGAATGATGTATCTGCCATTGCTCTTCTGCTTAAAGACCTGGTGTTTATCCCTGTGCTGCTGTTTGCTCCTATGCTAAAGCCTCAAGTTTACTCATCTATCAAGTTACAAAAGAGAAAATGCAAAAGAGAGGCAGGAAGGGAAGAACCCTAATTTAGCAAAACTTATAGAGGCATGCTGCTGTTGTTGACTCAGGAATTGACTCATAGCTCAGCCCATTTTGGGGGGAAGTAAATTGCCCAGGAGATTTCCCATCCTTTTCCCGCTCTACAGGCACACCTAGAAGATACTGTGGCTGCAGACCATGGCAATAATGCAAAATCACAATATTGCGAGTCCAGTGAATTTTTTGCTTCCTTTTTCCTGACATCGAGTCAGAGCTGACTTTTATGTATCTCCCTTCTGATGGGTTTCTGAGGCTGTAAGGGGCCTGAGAGGAGACTGTCCAGCTTTCTTGGGTGTACTTGAGCCATCAGAGGAGTAAGGCTTTTCTAGAGCATGTGAAAAGGGAACTCTGGTGGCCTAGTGGCAAGAAGCTGCCCTGCAATCCTGAAGGCCTGAGGTTCGAAGCCACCACCTGCTCCGCGGGAGAAGGAAGGACATTCTCTTCCTGTGTGATTAACTGTCTCTGAAAACCTCCTAGAGTGTCAGCTATGGATCAATTCTGACTCAGCAGCATATAACAACAACAACAACAACAATAGCAAATGTATGTGAATGTTATGTTTATAGTATGCTGGAGTCTGAAGCGTGCATAGAGGATGAAAAAGTTTTCAATATCATGAGAATTATTGAAATGTGTCCCAGAGACTCGAAGTGAGCCTCTGCTGGAAAAAAAACAAACCCCCAAAACAGACTAAGAAAACAACCAACTTATTGTCACCAAGCCCATTTCGACTAACAGTGACCCAGTAGGCAGAGTGGAACTTCACATAGGGTTCCCCAGAATGGCTGCAAACCTTTATAAGGACAGACTGCTTCATCTTTCTTCAGTGGGGCAGATGATGGGTCCTAACTGATCATGTGATGTGCATAACAGCTGAATGCCTTCATCACAGCACCATCAGGGCTCCTCGACGTGGGCATATGTTGTTGGAAACGTGGTGCTGATAAAATTGCTGGATGGAGGGTTATCTACCACAAACCTTGACCTGCACACACCACACTAGCTGTGAAGCATGCTCAATCAAGGCTTACCCACCTAGGAACACGCCAGGACTCTGCTGGGCCTGAGTGCTTACCTTGCTCCAGTTCCCCACTTTCCAGCCGGCGCAGGGCCGGAGGTGGCACTTCTTGGCGGGGTCTGGCTTCTGGGTGCCCGCGCAGTCTGTGTCCATCCGGGTGCTGCACTGCACGCTCCTCCAGTAGGCCCCCAGCCCGCACGTGGTGGAGCACTAAAGGGGGAAGAGGAAAAAAAGATGGGGAGAGTGTTACCACTGAGGCAGAAAACCGCAAATCAAACCAAAACCCCAACCCACGGCTGTCCCATCCACTTCACCTTGTGGTGTTGTTACTGTTTGGTGCTTTGGAGTCAAGTGTGACTCACAGTGACCCAGTGAACAACAAATCTGAACCCTGACCTGTGCCATCCTCATCGTCTCTGACCCATCTGAGCTCATGGCTTCCATCCTTATGCTGATCCATCTTATTGAGGGTCGTCCTCTGTTTCACTAAGATAGAGTACAAGTGACCCACATGAGTAAATATTCACAGAAGCAGGCTGCATCATCTTTCTTCAGCAAAACTGCGTGTGGGTTGGAACGCCACTTTTCTGTTCACATCCTAATGGTTTATTCTTTGAGCTGCCAGGCTCCTTGCTCTCAGTCCAATCTCACTAAACCTAAAAAATCAATCCTATTTTGTCAACTTGATTCTCACTCAATATCTCTTTGGTGTCTAGTCAGAATCAACTCCTAGCTGGCTCTCCAGTGGTTGTTCAGGGCCCTATAAATCACATGGGAGGAGACCATCTTTCTGCTGAGGGATAGCTGGTGGATTCGAACCACCAGAGAGGTGCTGCCTTTGAGTGAGCAGTTAAACTCCCTTTCAACTATGCCACCAGTGCTCTCTGATTCTAACTCAGCTACCTCATTAGTTACCGGACAGAACTGAGCCTCACAAGGTTTTATTGAATGTAATCTTTATGGAGCATAATTCCAGGACTCTCTTTCTTGGCACCGCTAGATAGTTTTGAAGTTCCAATCTTTCGGTTGATAGTTGGGCATAAACTGTTTATGTTACTCAGGGACCAAAAATCACTGGCAGAGGTTTAAAGAGAATACAAATACCAGTCCTAGGGCTCTGACCTCAAGCACATTAGTATACACCTCTGGAGTTAGTGCCTGAGCACCAATATCCTCAGGTGATGATAACTTGCACCAGAATTGAGACTCATGCATTTATATGTGGGAGGAAAACCCAGTGCCCTATGCATCTGAGAGCTGGACAATGAATAAAGATGACAGGAAAAGCATTGACGCCTTTGAACTGTAGTGTTGGAGAAGAGCACTGAACATCCATCCCAAGGACAGCCAAGAGAATGTTGAGGGTGCAGCCAGGTGTTCTCTGGAGGCAAAAATAATGAGGCTTCACCTCACATACTTTGGGCATGTTGCTAGGAGGGGCTATTCCTTGAAGAGGGCCATGATGCTTAGAAAGGTGGAGGGTCAGTAAAAGAGAGGAAGGCTCTCAGCCAGGTAGAGTGACATGGTGACTGCTGCACTGGGCTCTTGTGTGTCAGGACGTGTGAGGATGACTCAGGATAGAACAGTATTCAGATCCTTTGTTCATAGGGTCACTATGAGTTGTACTCAACTCAACAGCACCTAATGACAACAACAAGTTTCTAGAACCTTCTACTTTGGATTAAATTATGTATGAACATGATCCAACTATAATGACACTAATAATCGAGGCAGTAACAGGTGAAATGCTTTGACCACTATCACTTTACAGACATCATTCATATTTCCTTGAACTCACATCCTTTGCAACAGGCTGGCAATGCCTCCCACCAAGAGGTGAAGTCGATCTCACCAGCTCTTGAATAAGTCCTGGTCTTGTAACTTGTTTTGATCATAAGAATACAATGGATAAGACATATTACTACTATGCCTAGGTTTCAGGATACTGCTTATTTCTTGTCTTTCTTCTGGACTCTGGCTAATATCATAAGAATAAGCCTGGGATAACTTTCTGGAGGATAAGAGAGGAAACTGGTCCAGCCAAGGTCATCCTAGACCAGCCAAGCCCTCCACGACCTGCCAGCTAAGTATAGACACACACTAAGCCCAGTTGAGATCAGGTGAGCTTAGACAATCTCTAACCTGATCCATAGACTTGTGAGAGAAAATTAGTGATTACCGAGGTTTGCTGGGAATTTTGGTACAGATACATTATTTGCACAATAGACTATTGATGTAACTATCTATGCGGTATCTCCCATACACTTTTGGGGTGGGGGTGTTTTATTAAAAAATATTTCCCCCCACTTTTCTTCATGGACATTATTTTTCATACAATCATTCCATACATTGTATTTTATAAAATTAATTACCATTGGACTATGCCCACCATTATTAGGTCTTTTCAGGACCTGCCTGATCTTTCCCATTTCCTTTAGGCCCTCCCTTCATCTACCAAATGTGCAATGCTGTGATTTTGCCTCTACCCATCCTCACCTCTCTGCTCCCATCCCTTCCCCTCCTTTGATCTCCATACACATTTTATCCTTCTATTTTTACAATAATGGTCACATACAGTAGTTGTCCTTATGAGACTGAGTTAGTTCACTCAGAATAATGCTCTCTAATCTCTCCCAAGTTATATAGTATTTTTTAAATAGTTGCTGCTGTGTGCTGCATAGTATTCCATCATGTGAATGTACCATGACTCCTCCATCCATTTGGTTGTAGTTGGACATGTATGCTATTTCCATGTTCATGCTGCTATTAACATTGGTGGACAAATCTCCATTTTTCTATCAGTTCTAATTTCCTTGGGTTGTATTCCTAGCAGTGGAATAGCTGTGTCATATGGAATTTCTACATTCAGCTTTTTGAGGAACAGCCAAACGGCCTTCCAGATTGGGTGTACCATTTTCCAATTGCACCAGCAGTATATGAGAGTTCCCACCTCTTCATATCTCTCCAACATTTATTACTTTCTGTTCTGTTAAACTTTGCCACTGCTACTGAAGTGAGATGGTATCTCATTGTGGTTTGGACTTGCATCTCTCTTATTGCCTGTTATTTTGAGCACTTCTTTGTGTCTGTTGGCCATCTGAATGTCTTCCTCTGTGAAAATTCTTTCCGTGTCTTTTGCCTATTTTGTAATTGGCTTACCAGTCTTTTTCTTCTGGAGGCTCTGTAGGATTCTGTAAACTTTTATGAGGTCATTATCTAAGATGGTATTGTCAATTTTTTTTTTCTCCAGTTGGTAGGTTTTCTTTTCACCCTATTGGAAAATTTTTGTGATGTGCACAGTGATTTAATCTTTAAAGGGTCCCATTCATCAATTTTATTCTCTTCTGGTGTGCATTTCTGTGTATTTGTCAGCCTCCTCATATCATATCTCATACATTTTTTTATTGGAGTTCATGTGTTAGGTGCCATTGGGGAAACCTTCCCGACAACATGCCCAAATTATGTGATATGAAGTTTCCCCATCCTTGCTTCTAAGGACCACCTGCCCCTGGTTGGTGATGGTATTATGTTCTGTCAAATTGCCTGTGAGTCATAGCCACCCTATGTATAACTTGGCACTATCTTGAGCCAACCTTATCATCTCTTGACACACCTACCCCCATTACCCCAGTCACTTAATCCATCCATCCATCCATCTCATTGAGGGCCTCCTCTCTTGTGCTGTCCCTCCTCCCTCCCAAGTATAATCTCCCTCTCCAAGGACTGGTCCCTCCTTGCAACATGACCAAAGTACGTCAGATGGAGCTTCAGAATCTCTGCCTCCAAGGAGCAGCTGTTTCACCCTTTCTAGGACAAACTTGTTAACAATTTTAATCTCTTCACTGTCTAGCAGGATGCTGTCAATTGGCCCAGTGGTGAGAACATTTGTTTTCTTGATGTTGAGCTTTAATCCATATTGAAGGTTGCAGTCCTTGACCTTCTGCAGCAAGTGCTTCAGGTCCTTTTCAGTTTCAGCAAGCAGCGTTGTGTTATCTGCATAACTCAGGTTGTTGATGAGTCTTCCTCTAATCCAGATGTTACATTCCCCCTCATAAAGCCCAGCCTCCTGGATGATCTGTTCTGAATATAGATTGAAAATATATTGAGATAGGTCACATCCCCGGTGTACACTCTTCCTAATTTTCAACCATGCAGTGTTTTTTGCTGTGTTCTGACAACTGCCTCCTGATCAAAGTATAGGTTCTCATAGCACAATTAAGTATTCTGGGATTCTGATTCTCCACTTCCTCAAAAATAAGTTGGTTGGTTTGTTACTTTGGCAGCCCATAGGATATTCAGTACTCTTCTCCAAAACCACAATTAAAAAAATATTGATTTTTCTTCTGTCATCCTTATTCATAGTCCAACTTTCAGATACACAGTAAGTAACTAAAAAGATCATGGCTTGGCTTTGGTGCACGTTGGTCTTTAAATTTATACCCTTACTCTTCAGAACTTTGAAGAAGAGATCTTTTACAGAAGATTTTTCTCAATACAATATATTTTTTTATTTCTTATTGCTGTTAACCATAACTTCTGAATGTGGATCCAAGTAAAATGAAATAGTTGACAACTTCAACCATTTCTCCATCTATTATGTGTCTTCCTGAGCCACCCTTTGAAATCTTTTGTTCAGGTCCTTAACTTTCTGATTTCTTCCCATTGCTTTGTCTCCTTGGCGCTCTAGGGCAATATTTAGGGCCTTTTCTGAAATCAAGTCAGTTTTTTCCTTCTCCTCTGTCTTCATGCTGACCTTTTGCATTCTTCATGGATGATATTCTTGATACCCTCCCACATCTCATCTGATTGTCATTTATTAGTATGCAAGGACTCAAATGTGTTTCTGAGATGGTTTTTAAATTCAAGTGGGATAGACTCAAAATCAAATTTGGTTCCTGTGGATTTGATTTAACCTTCTTTATTTTTAATTTGAACTTGCATATGAGTAGTTGATGGTCTGTTCCACAATCAGCCTAGTTTTCATAGCTGATATTGAGCTTTTCCAGTGATTCTTTCCACAGATGTAATCGATCTGATTCTTGTGTTTACCATCAGGTGAAATCCACATATATGGTCACCATTTATGTTTCTTATAAATGGTATTTACAATGAATAAATTATTGACTCTTTAAAGTTCTATCACTATCTCTAGCCTCATTTATGCCATCAAGCTCATGTTTTCCAACTACTAATCCTTCTTCCTAGTTCCC